AGAAATTTATATTATTTTTACTTACTGGTGCCTAAAAGTAGGATTACAATATTTTTCAAAAAATCAAACACTCCTTTGGAAACTTTATGAGCTTCCCTCATACGACCAAACAATGAATCATACGATGGAGGTGGAGCTGAAAAGTAAATACATTTTCAAAGAACTGTTTACACGTAAATAAACACTATTCTTGTGAAGTTATTATAAAACTCATTTATATAAACTTAAGATGGCTACAGACGTAACTAAAAGCTTAACAAGCATGTATGATCAATTTTCTTGTACAATGATGCAAAAGAAGAAATCTATAATTTTAATTCTACAATTCTTTTACAATTAGTTCTAAAGTCATTTATCTTTTACATAAGTGAATCCTTAGCATCGTCGGATTCAATTAATCTATTTTTTAATAATATATGATATGTTGCATCCTGTTTCATCTGATTATAATAATCTTTAGGTCTAATGCCACACACATGGGTGATTTTGGTAGGCTTGAATAAAATCTTCAAGCAACTGGTTATACATTCCATTTTGCTTGTACAAGCATGCATAATTGGAATTCAATCAATCTTTAACCTGCTTAAACAATTTAAATGCTTGTACAAATTTATAACTCAGATGTTCAAGTGTGCTTGAACAAACAGACTGATCATGCATGGTAATCGTAGCACTTACATCTGCTTCAGATATTAAAAAAATATCTATATCTCTGTACTATCGAAACAAATGTTTCTTACAATCTACGAATATGAATTATTTATGTTCTTATTTACCATTGGGGTCAATGGCTTCTTCATAAGGAGGAGGTGCACCACGGTCATTTGTCAAGGTAGATGGATGACCCAGAGGGAAGTTAATGTTATGATACGAAGGTGGAGGAGTGGAACAAGTCGACGAAGTTGTCTCTGTGCCAGGATTCACGGTCTCGATAATGGTAACGAAATTACTTTGATTTAATTGATTCATCGGGATCTCTTCGCGTATGTTCGTCGCTTGAAGCCAATGCATAGGGTTTGCATTAAAAAATACTTGCTCGTTTGTCGTCACCGTTTTCAACACTCGCGTATAACCTACAAGCAGCTTCCTTGATTCCTTTTCACGCGATGTTTAACAATCCCATTACATCGAAATGTGGCGCAAAATTGTTCGCGGTTCCCTTGATTCGTGTGATGATATATAATAATGCACACGGTTTCAGTTGTATTGTTGGGAACGAGGACACGAGCGAAAGGAAATAAACACTCCTGATCAGAATGTACGTTATTGAAAATTTTTCGAACAGTCGGTTCATTGAACAGCTGAGGGGTAAACGTTACGCGACGCTTGGTTTCATTTCTGACGGTTGGATCGAAGATTTTTGTGTACTTTGTGACCACGAGGACTGTCACACCCCCGTTTTCAGCCAACGCAAAACAACGTTCGTAGCCTACACCGGCATCTATATGTTTGATTATGCCCGCTTTCGCTCGAACGAACCACCGTGAAGTCGACGCAACGCGAGACCATGCAACATTATTCTTTACAGGTTTTATATCATAACCGAATTAAATTGTTTGTAAGATACAGTTGATGTACATTTGTGCCACAATAAACCATGTGTGGTCGTGTGGCGTGCACGTATACGAATTAAATGTAACACGCCTGTCGCGTATGTATTAGATGAATCGACGATATTCGACTGGTTGATTTCATCCTCAATAAAAAGTATGCAAAAGTAAGAATTGTAAGACATGTAGACGACATGTCCTAAGAATTTGTACCAATATTAAAAATATTCCATTTTGGAATGTAGCCGAATATTAACGAGAGTTAATGTCCATTAAAGTGAACATAAGAACGCGTTAATAAAATAAGATTAATTAAATATAAAATTCCTATAACACGATGGTATCGTCAATTATTTTATATGACTACATTATTATTGTCATCAACTTATCCCGTATATATTTGTATTGAGCCAAGATAATACAGCTTAAATTAGCTTATATAAATGCACGTTTCATGATCGACTCTCTGATACTTATTATTTTATTACAACTAAAGATCCCCCTTAATCTCAGATCGGAGAAGCATGATACTGAGTTATTAGCCATAACGTAACATCCTACCGATTGTTCCTGATAAATTCATTAAATAAAAAACAAGGAAATTGATATCAAGTCGTTTTATCGGTTTATAGCATATCGTGGACAATTTTCTGCGTGTAGGTACCTTGAATTCCCATAATTATATAATAATCAGTCATAGTAATCAGTATATATACATATCAGTCATGCAACCGTCCACCGACTGTACCAGTAAACTAATTATAAAACGTAATTGTCGCATTTATTTTTTCGAGCCAACCAATCGCAGCAAAAATGGGAACACAGGGAAACCATTCCGTGGCTTTAAATACGGGTCCTCTCCCCTGTTTCTTAGTCTTATTTTCAGAGAACACTGAAATTTTGTTAAACGATTTTCTGTATTACAAATCATTATGCAGTCAATTCCTAAATTGATATTCGTAACTATTTTATGCGTTGCTTTGTGGATGCGAGCGAAGGTAAGTTTTTATTTACATATCCAAAAATATTAATATAAATTGCATTCTTTAAGAATCAATAAGCTCCTTATTATACGGAGCGTGCCGTAAATGAAAGTTCATCTTCGAACTAGTGATAGACCAAGTCATGACTAGACTGCGGGTTCTATGCATTTATAACAAAATAAAATATGCAGAAATTGAAAATGCTACATGGAATATATAAAATTATTCAAGATATCGAAAGCTGAATGCATATTTAGATATTTAAATGATGAAATAAATGGTTCTCTAAAACATAGTTTTTAAACTGTTATCATAAATGTTTTATTTTGCATAAAAATCTGCAGTCTAGTAATGACTTTAAAATACCACAATTTCACCTTCGGTTTTCGAGATTTTTTTCCGTTTTCAAGATTATCCATTACGTATGAAACATTCTGTATATTATACACTTGACACATTTTTTTCAATTTCTTAGGCTGATAACAAAATCACTGTCAACAGCTTCGACGTTGATATTCCCGGTAACGATATAGTAGGTGCATGGGATCATGATCTCGCAAATAATCTTATTAGTTCAACGATCAGTATTAAAAGGGACTGTCCAGGTGTATTCGAGGTATCAGTTTAAACTAAATTAAGTATTAATTAATATCGTATCTAATAATTAAAGCTATGGATATTTTAATAACAATTTACTATCATATAATGTAGTATTAATTCTACTTTATTTAATTTTGTAATGAATGCGCAAATAATAATTTTAACTTTAGCTTGACATCAAAGTCTACGAAGGTGAAGCTCAGGTCCAGCAAATGAATCAAAAGTTAAAAAAACCGATCAAAGACATTGAGAACTACAATCTTTGCGCGTCGATCGATGGCCCGGATCCTGAAGATGATCAATGTTCCATTCTCGAAGTAAGAGACCATGTACATACAGGATGGGGCAATAACTTTGTCCACCTTAAATATCACTGAAACTAAACGTACAGTCGAAATCT